GCTATGTCGATTTACTTAGTAAAATTTCAACTTTACTATAGAGTAACTACTAATGATCGTATAAGTAGCTTATTTTCGGGTAATAGAAGTTTTTACATTTTTCTTTCAAAAAAAGAAGGTAGCTTATTTTCGGAGTAGCTTATTTTTGGAAATATACGGTAGTATTTTTTTATCTTTAGAAAAAATAACATTTTTATTTTAATCAGTATCATTAAAATTTAAAATAGGCTTAAACCATATAATATTGAAAATTTACATGCCTGAAAACTATAAGCACGTGTTTGACAATAAGTTTTTATGAATTCTACTAATGTTGGATAATTGCATATTTGTACCTGTGTGGTTTCTTCAATTTTTAAAATTGGGTCTATATGAAACATTGACTGTTCAAAAAATTAATTATTTAAATAGTACAAATTAAAATTAGTTAAGTTATAGTTTTAAATAATTTATAACTTTTAATTTATTGATTTTGATTTTTAGCACATCTCATAATATGAAATAATAAATATGAAAAAGGTTAAATATTTACCTCAAATACTTCAGTAATCTCTTCTTAACTTGCTAGGGAATGGCATTTAAATTTATTGTTTTTTAATCTAAGTTATACAGTTTGATTTTTTAATATTTCTTGAATACACATGATGCATTCTTTTAATTCTGATTCTAATTTATTAGATCCTTCAGCTTTTTTATGAATGTCACCTAGTGTATTTACCATTTCAAATAAATTTTCAGATTCTGGACTCATTGAATTATGCTTGAGCACTACACCTTAAAGACCCAAATTTAAAGTACTCATGATTCACTTTGTGAGATTTGTTTAACTATGATTAGGAGCTGTACAAACTGCAACAAGCAGATCAAAATCTCTACAAAGAAAAAGACTTATCAATGCAATTTGTACTGAACCATAATTACAATGATGATCTGAACCCCTATAAGTATAAAGATATAAAATTGGTAGCATTTTTTGATATACATATTGAAGTTTTAACACATTTAAAAATTTAGTCAAATATCTAATAGCAGTACTCAGTTCAAAAATCATATCTTTGTATGATACATACACCTGACCATTATAAAATGATCTAGAAATATCATTAGGAATAGAAATTAAAAAAACTACTGACAGTGTTAGAGATAGTTTTGAGAAATCGTGATCAGCAGCAGCCAAAGTGCTTTCTTGTACAACTATTGAGCGTTGATTTTGCATACCTGTAGAAACTGCAATATCTTCTTTAATAGAAATCTTATATTTATTATCTGCAGAAATTAAGCAAGCCCATTGATGGTACCAGATACAAAATTCTCAAGATATTGGAAAAGTGCTGCACAATAATATGCGTCTTCACTACTTTTTTGAAGTATTCTCTCTTGCACTTTAAATTTTACTTTAAATTAGTTAGTATAATACATTGCCCATATTGTAATAGCATTTGTAGGGCAAAATTGAAGATGAATCTATTTGTCTGATGGGATATTAATATTGGAAAGTAATGAATTACCATAAATAGCCTCTAACCTTTCTACTATAGTTTCACAAAAATCACAAATTGACAAGACCAATGGCATATATAGAACAGTTCTATGGTATCAGTCATTTACTACAAGTAAGTTCTATTAAAATATAGTAGTTTAAAAAATAATAAACATATACTAGTGATATGGGCTAGACTGGTCGATTAATAAAGTGTTAGAATTAATTTTTTTATAAAGCATATTTTAGGTCAAGAAATTGACTAAAACCAAACTAATAGTTTACAACAATATAAATATTTATTAGCTAATTTAGATAATAAATTAGCGAACAATAAATATAAGGAACAGAAATGTTCTGGGCATGTAAAATATAATGGAAAATATCTAGATATTTTACATACTGTATGATCGAATTTTGATTTATACTAGAGTGTGGAATTGATGAAAAATTTTTCGATCATCAATCAAAAATTTCAAGCATCGAAATAAGCTTTCATTCATTGAGTTTTTAATTTAGTCATCATCAAGTATCAGTGAAATCAAAATTAACTATTTGTTTTGATAATGATAAATTTTGTGATTTATTATAAATATTAATTTTTATAAATATTGGTTTAATAAATCTTTAAATTGCTCAAATTGATATTATCACAATAAATCTTTAAATTGTTCATTAATATTACCGCAATAAATCTTTAAATTGTTTATTAATATTACCGCAATTAAAACATGGAATTGGATTTAATATCGAATGTAGATACTGCTTCTTATGTTAATATTTCTACAGAGTTTGATTTTAATAATGAGGAGGATGAATCTAATTACATCAATATTTCGGTTTGTGAGGAGTCAAAGTCTAATGTAGAGGTGGCTGTTGTTGATGGTTTTAAAAAATGAAGATCAGAAATTCGTGGTGGGTCTAAAAAACGATCCTGGGTTTGGCAATACTTTGATTCGATTGTAGTACCTAATAAAGACAGCAAAGAAATCCAATATGGTGAATGTCATGTTATAAAAGATGATAATACACAATATGTACAAAGAATCAAAATTACAGGTAGATCAACTTCGAACCTTATTCACCATCTTTCTTCAGTACATGGCATTATGGTAAAATTTTGCAGATTATATTATTTGTTATTATACACTATTATAGTCTTTAATTAATTTATTTTTATTATTAGGATGGTCAAATTAATATTGCTAAAACTCATTCAAAAGCAAATAATAATTTTCTTATTCGATCCTTATTAAAACTTCTTATTCGTGAAAATTTGCCACTTAACCTTGTATCAAAAGAATCATTTCACGAATTCATTCATAATCTGGATTCTACATTTACAATACCATGT